GGGCAACACGCCTCTCGTTCGCCTCAACAACATCCCTAAGAGCTGTGGCCTCAAGTGCCAAGTTTGTGAGTAATTATCTAATTTTTTATGTCAAGACTTGTGGGAATTATAGACAGGATTACCTAGTTAGAAGACATAGAAATTTTTTCAGTATTTTAGATTTGCAAATCTGTGTAACTACCTACTCGATCATCACTTAGAACAGATTAAATTTTTTATAGAGCATTGCATATACGAATTCATGGAACAACTTTAGTTCAGTTTATTTGACGTATGAATCTATGTAACAACTAATAATTAACTCGCTCACTTATGCAGATGCCTTATTAAATGTATATACGAGTCTGTGTACACTGCTCGAAAAAAGGTAAAAAAAACGGTCTCACCGTCGTTCTAGTGGCCGGCCGCCACGTGAAAATAAATTGTTTGTCGTTTTTTTTCTTATGTTGTTCGGGTTTCTAGTGTTAAATTTGAATGAAAACGGACATACGGTGTTTCTTTTCACGTTTTGGCCGGCCACTGGAACGCCGGTGAGACCGTTTAACGGTGTTTTTTTTTTTTTTTACAGTGATAACAACTACTAATTAACTCACTCATGCAGATGCCTTATTAGATATATCAGTCTGTGTAACAACTAATATTTAACTCACTCATGCAGATGCCAAGTGTGAGTTCTTCAGCGCGGGCGGGAGTGTGAAGGACCGCATCGCGCTGCGTATGGTGGAGGACGCTGAGAAAAAAGGGATCATCACCCCGGGCCAGTCGGTGCTCATCGAGCCTACCTCTGGCAACACGGGTGCGTAGAGCTTTTACTTGTTCATGTTTAGCTCATTAGATCTCATTCATATCGTGAGAAGTTGCACAATTAGTGCAACTTCTCCGCCAGTACGTATGCGTCGATTACATTATTTTTCTTTGTACGGCTCAATGGAACTCTTTGATAGAAACTATTACTGTAACCTTGCCCCCAGCACTATTTGTGCAACAGTTTGTTACTGTTTAGCTGATTTGATATTGTAAAATACGTGATCTAATCAGAAGAGTTACGGTAATGGATCATACTGGTGGTGCATCAGGCTAAAATTAAAGGTTTGACTATGACGATAAAACTTATTTTATAACAATGTGTTATATTGTATTCATTTAACGAAAAATGTATAAAATTACATGCAATTTTAATTTTTCTTAGCTATATGTTAATGCTCGTTGTGGTATAAATTTTGAATTGTATACAGGTATCGGCCTGGCACTGTGCGGCGCAGTTAAAGGCTACCGCACCATCATCGTCATGCCAGAGAAGATGAGTGATGAGAAAGTGAGTGTTGATCGTTGAGTGTTGCTCTTATGATCGTTAACAAGCCGAAGGGTTTTGCTTCAAATGTATATTTGTTAATTTGAAAGTGAAAATTATGTGTGCAATAATTAACCAACAATATAAGAATAAATTGAAGGAACAGAATGCAATTATGAAGTGGCAAAATTCGTGCGGTCGTGACCATTGAGTTGAATTAATAAATTGAATAGAAAAAACGTTATTCTGACCGTAAATGAATAATTTCACTTAGAAGAAAATATTCACATTCAGTACTATTTAGCTGAACAAATCTGTCGTTGATGAAGAATGGCGTTTTTACTATGATAACGCTTTGGATGCCAAGGGTCAGTATTGCACAAGTGATGAGTTAAGATTTATATTCTAAACATAAGTGTATAAGAGACAGGCTAAANCTCTTCCTTATTTACTAAATTTCAAATCGAATAAAAGTGATGAGCTATTTCCTATATTATATGATCATAATGAGACTTATGAGTCAGTTGAGACAGATTTACCTTGTATAATAATGTAAAATTGTATGCAAGTGGTTGCCCATCAGACAAATGGCGTCGAAACAATGTTTAATTAGCTTTACTTCAAGTAAAAAACGTCCATTTTCACGTTAATTTGACGTCAAAAGCTTGGCTGGTAAAGAGCTTCTCGTTCCCTCAGACCGCGAGCACGTCGACATCTGGATGAAGAGTCGCGACAAAGAGTCCTTCGCAATGTCCCGGCGCATGATTAAAGAAGAGGGACTCCTTTGCGGTCAGTTGCTTGTGACATCAACGTGACATTAAGGCATGACAGACCTAGTCAATTATTCCTTCACCATGGCAGACCATCTCGTGTTGATTTCTTCACCATGACAGACCATCTTGTGTTGATTCTTTTACCATGACAGACAAAGACATACCACCGCACTTCTCCGTACAGGATTGAAGATAAAGAGTGTAGAAATATTTTGTGGGAAGCAGCTGTTTACTAATCACTTCAACAATAAAGATGGTCTTTGGGTGGTTCTTTAGATTGACTTCCGCGCTAGTTCTGTGGATTTTTATCGATAAAATGTTAATTGATTGTAAATTATCCTATTTTTGGACTTCCTCTCTTGTTTGACGGTGTAATGATGTGATTTCATACTGAGAACTTAGTCCCAGCTCATAAATTGTAATCATATCCATTTTAGTCTGCCATAGAATTGTATATACTTTGTGCCCCTTAATTATTTGGAATTTTTTAGCTTGAACCTCTTATGGAAGGGTACATGGGCAAAAGCCAAGGCATAAACATTGATGTATAGCTTTTTCACTCACTACGACATTAATCTATCTTTTCAGAATGATACAAAAAAATTGCATGCGATTAATGGACAGAAACGATTTTTCATCTTACCACTGACACATTTTATTGTGAATTATAAAATTTTTAGGTTTCACTCTTAATGCTCGTAAAAGCCTCGCCACACGGCGGAACATTGCTCACTATGCAAATTCAACATGTATAAAGAGACGTGAATAAACATGTCGGCTGGTGTCAGTCATTGAGTGACCACACAAAACGCAGGTTTAAACCAGTTGTTGGAACTCCCATAACGCAGGTTTTGAAAAGTGTTTCGAACGCTTACACCCCAAATTAAAAAAAAATTTAAATCTTAAAAAAGTAGGTAGGCAATTCGATGAATGAGTATTGATGAGTATTAATGATGATGAATTTAATGTACCAGGTGGCAGCTGCGGGGCGGCAATGCACGCTGCCATGATCGCAGCCAAGGAGCTTGACGCTGACCAGCGCGTAGTGGTGGTGCTGCCTGACTCTGTCCGTAACTACATGACCAAGTACCTCAGCGACGCCTGGATGATCGAGCGCGACTTCATGAAGGCGCCTGAGGAGGAGGAGAACAGCATGTGGTGCGTGAGCTGCCGGATTTAATTCTCTAGGTGTTAGTTCTTCATGTAGGGAACCGTGGGGCAGAGAACAGCATGTG